CTGGCGACGTCCTCAGCAGCCTTCATAAAGTTTCCTCATCAATGCTGATAAAGTCCATTGATCAACTTGTCCTGCTTGGGGTGGGAGATCTCACGTAAAATATTTGCAAGCTTCACGTGAAGGCTTTGTGTGAAACTAAGCAGCCATTTGGAAGGGTCCTTGATCGGCCTCGTGTGATGTGTTTCAACAACTCTTTCCACGCCCCAAAGCACGTGTTCTGGCCCAAAGAGTATTTCTCAGCGTGGATCTTTGCGAGTTCAAGCATCAGTGGGAACTGGAGGGCTTGATGCTCGATTGGAGTAGTTGCCTGGACTCCCACTTCCTTTTTGTCCCCTTTAGTTTCACTCCTCAATCAAGGGTGTGAACACTTTCATTCCAGTATTGGATTTGATAGTCAAACCCCTATTTCTGACGTAAGGCCATTCAGAGAAAGTGAGGGAAGAGCTGCAGTCACGTGTGCTCCCAGATCTACATTCCTGTGTCTCTGAAGTTGCTGCAGAGCCTGTCCCCTGTGGTCTCCAATGTGGCCATCTTTTTGTTTGTTTGGGTACACGGTCTCCAAAAATGGTGTCTAACATTTACGGTTGTTTTCGATTTCTCTGGTCTTATTACGGAATTTAGGGTCTTTTCAAATCGTACGCAGGGAATTCACAGAGCTTTTCCCATTTAATTTTATTGGTTCATAATAACACAAAAAATTGATGTGTATTCAGAAACCCTGAACTACATATTCTTAGAATGATTGCAAATTGCTGTATAAAATTCTGCCTATCCTATGTCAGCTTTGGAAAGACTTTGAAAGTCACTCTCTGCTCAGACCATGAGCAGGGCTTAAATTCCGCCATAGGGGTCTTGTTCTAATCGAGTCAACATTCAGAGCTCCTGGCTGCATTGCAGGGATGGGAGGCTAGGCAGAAAGAGCACTGGGGCAGGGTCAATAGAGGCCACCGTACAGAAGAAGAGGACGAGGAAGATAAAAGCTGTTAGACTTAAATTATGAAGTGGACAGGTTGAAAAGAGAGCGAGCCTTTCACATCTTTTGTTTATCTCTTCCATAGAATCTTTAGAGGCTGTGGTGGAATCTGAATTTCTCTTTCATGCTTTCTCATATCGACCAAAAAAGCACAGGTCACTGAGTGTTGGCAATTTTACCCCCTTTTCATTCAAAGGTACTTCTCAAATGAACAACTTTGTTCTGATGGACAGCTTCCCACAATGGCCGCTGAAATTCTCAACTACCATTGGTAAACTGTGCCACGTAGAAAGACAGTCACTTGAATTAGGTATCATTCCACATAAGAGGCAGGAATCTGGCCTGCAGGGGACCCCACCCTGGGTCTGGTGTCAGGCAAACACAGGACTGTCTGGCGATGGTCGGTCGAGTCAGTGGCTGCTTCACCTTCCGTCCTAAGCTCCCCAGCCTAAGGGGTAGGTGGTCCCGAACAGCAAAACTGAACGATCTGGAGTTCTTGGTCTCAGCTGGACGTGAACGTCCGCTGTCCACGGCCAACACAAAACAGGCTGAAAAGAGTAGAGACAGAAAGCAGTGTTGCTGGTCAGTGGGCAGCTTCCCACTAGGCACACATGATTTCAAATCCAATCCAATAGTCCCAGGAGTCCTAAAGGGGTTCTTAGGGGACAAAAAGGAATCAGCACTGGGATCTAATGTGAGACTCACCCCATCCGCGGAGGCCTCAGAGGCTCTCTGTTTCTGAATTGAGGGTCTTGGCTTCGGCAGCAAGGAAGGTATCAGCAGGATCTCAGAGGGACGGGCAGGTGGCTGAATGCCCTGAAGTATCACCGGGAGACCTTGTCACAAACAAGAGTTACATTTAGTGGAACGCATTGCAGTAAGGGAGGAGATTTTGACAGTCCCACCAGTGTCTCAGGAGAGGGAAGTCGGAATTAGAACAATTGTAGGACTTTGGGGTCGGGGCTCAGTTAGGTTCAGGTGAGCCTTTCGAAGTGGAGACTGAGGAGGACTGGGCCACGCAGGGTTCATGGGGCAGCAGTTCAGGCTCGGCTGACTCGGGCGCCACGGGTCTGGATAGGTTAGCTGGTATTGATAAGCAGGCCTTTGGCTGGAGTTAGAGCATTGCCTTCAATATATTGATTGGTTGGCAAACAATAGATTTAATTACAAGTTTTCAGTCTTATCTGTCCTAGGCTAACGTTTCCCAGAAGACACAACTCAATCACACTGACCTAAGTCTACCTTTTATCTAAGTCACGTTCCTCTTCTGCCTGCCACTTCCTTTAGTTAAAATAATAACAGTAGCAGGAACATAACATGTTTGAGAGGAATGAAAGAGTCTGGATATACTTCCCGCTGTATTTCAGGTAAAACAAATAATACATATTTTTGGAACATTTTTGATGCATTTTGCTTCTGATGCTTTTGCAGTCTTCACACCATGCTAGGCCCCATGAGTGTTAAAAATGTCTGAGACTCTCAGCTCGGTCGCCTATTACAATCCCGGTAATTACCCCACACGAATTATACCAGAATCTCCCGTGCGCTCAGACGCGCGCATGCGCGTTTCAATTACAGTGCGCATTCAATATTATATTAGTTTCAGGGATATACAGCATAATGGTTAGACATGTATACAGCTCACGAAGTGATCCTATGATAGGCCTAGTGCCCCCTGTCGCCATACAGAGTTATTACAATATTCCTGGCTCTTCCTATGCTGTACTTTACATCCCCGTGGCTAGTGAGGAACTGCCGGTTTGCATCTCCTACTCCGCCCAAAGCTCCTTGTGGCTGGTCCAAGTGCAAGTGAAGTTGAGAGACACCAACACAGGGAATGGTTAAAAAGAAGCGCCAGCTTCCACTTAAACCCTTCCCCAGTCAGTCCTCAGCTCTTTTTACCAGGTTTAAAGACAAACATGGCAAATTGACCAAAAGTGCACAGAGCAGAAACCGAGCAAGAGGAGCAACGCCGCTGGCTGACGGGGCCCCCACCCGACACATTTCAACGCGCTCTGATGATGGAGCGATGCTGAGGGGGCAGATTTAATAAAGATAAAAGTCAAAGCTCAAATCGTGGACATCGTCAACCAACTTGACAAATGCAGGGTAATGCAGATATCGCTAAACAGCAGTACACAGAAGTTCCTGAGGAATTCAGTTGATTTTAAGTGTAATGCGAGTCAACGCTGTGATTTGGCTGCCAGAAAATACACCCGATCCACGGCTGCGTCAACAACCGCGTTAGCGTCTGGACAAAGAAGACCCCTCCTTCATGCCTGTTGGAGCCCTGTGCGCACAGTCATGTTGTGCGCAGGACGCTGAAGGAGAACCAGTTAAAAGTAGATTGTGGCTGGTGAGGGAACTAGGAGTTGTCCTAATAGAAAAAAAAAAAAGATATTTCGCTGGGAGGAAAACTAGCATAGGGAGAACGTAACATACATTTCAAAAATATGGACGTTAGCTTAGATTTATCATGTTGGGTCCAGGAGTCAAAAGCAGTGAAGAAAAGGAAGGTTTTTCAGCAGCCTTGGCCACCGGCGAAAGCAACGGGCTGCGCAGGCCGGATGGCCTCCGTCCCTGGAGGTATTTCACACCTGCAAGTACATGATGTGTGAGAGGAGTGTCGGAACTTGCGGAGAGTTCGCCCAGATTGACAACTGGCTCCTCTCCCTCCGAAACTTGATGATCTGCGTTTCTAAAAGTAGCTCAGCAGGGCAAAGGAGCCTCTTCATTTCAGGAGCGTTGCAACCGGGAGCTTGGTCTTCTGCAACCTGTCCTCTCTGCGCTGCCCCCCCCCCGCCCCCCAGGGAGACCACCAGGACAGGCAGCACCGTGCGGCCCCTGGGTGATGTTCCCAGGGGCCGGTGCAGTCACTTGTCTGCAGATGTCACTTCTTACAATGTGTTGACCACATGTCTCATCAGCAGCCCCGTTCTCGTTTAAACCTAACTTCTTGCCGAAAGGGACCCTGCCTCTCTACCCTGTTCCTGCCGATCTGGGGATTCCCAAGGAATCCTTCGCAGGCTTGCCCGCCGTGGCCCTCACGGCGCTCAGAGGACGTGGTAGTTCTCGCCTCACCGGCAACACGCAGTTACCAGACCAAGGGAAAGAGGGGCTGCGACTGGTTCCAAGCCCCGGCGGGGTCCCCGCCATTGCGCTGGTTTCTCGGGACGGTGCAGCACTCAGGGTCTATTTCCAAACCTTGTGCAGGGCGCAGCGGGCCCCGGCGTGCGCAAGTCAGACAGGCACCGGGGCTGCCTGGGACAAAGGGGCTCCCTCCTCCCCAATAAGCTACTTTCTCCTGCGGTCCCAGCGTGGACGCGTCGCCTCAGTGGCGGGCCCGCTGTCCGCCAAACCGGGGACTGAACTGGCTCCTTCGGCCGCAGCCCCGGGAGGGGAGGGAGGGACCGAAAGGACAAGGAGGGGTGGGAGGTGGGGCACGGGGGAGGAGGCCAGGGCGTAGGGAGCTGGAGGGCGCGCGCTCCGAGGAAGAGCGTAGGGGAGGGCGGCCGGGCCCGGCACGCTCCCTCCCTCGGCCTTTCTCTCACATAAGCGCAGGCAGAGGGCGCATCAGCCATGCCCTGCCCTGCGCCCGCCGCGCCGCCCCGCGCTCTCGGCCTCGCAGCCCCGCGCCCCGCCGCCCGCCGCGGCCGCCCGGCGCGCTCCACTCCTGGGAAGGGCGGGGAGGAGGGGACGCGTGCCCCGGGGGGTTGGAGGGGCCGAACATCGCGGGGTGGTTCGGCCTGGCCCCCCTCCTTCCAAAACGCACCAGCAGCCACGCCGGCCGAGGAGCCGTCCGCCTTCGCCCCGGCCTCACCTCGCCGGCCCCGAGCGCGCGCGGGGAGCTCGGATGTCCGGTTTCCTGTGAGGCTGTACCTGACCCAGTCGCCTCTCGCCAGCACTGGCTGGGACAGCGACGTGCGACGTCGCGAAGGCCGCCTGCGGCTCGCCCTCGGGGGTCAGCACTGGGCTCTCGGGCGGGCGGAGGGCGAGCTGCGCGCCGCTGCGCCCTGGCCGGTCCACCATGCGCCAGCTGCGCGCCTTGATCCTGGCGTGTTCCCTGCTCGCCGCAGCGCTGCTCCCGGGTCCGCGCCACGCGCCGGCCGCCGCCACCGCCCTCGAGTCGGGACTCGGCTTCTCGGACACGGAGCCGGAGGAGGGCGAGACCAAGGTGGGTGCGGGTCACGCGCTGGGGTCGGGCTTTGGGCGGGGGTGGGGGGGGACCGCAGGGTCGGGGTCGCTGAGGACCCTGGACTGAGTGACTTGTGCATTCGTGGGTCACCTAGTGTCCGTTGGATCCAAAGTTTCCAAGCGGACTTGATGCTGCCTGGGAGAAAGTTTTCTCCTGTTTTCATGGAAAGTTGTTCCTAAGTAGGAAAGCAGGTTATGGGAGTGAAGGGCCCAGAGAGCTGGCTGGTGACAGAGATCCCAGAACCCATGTGAGAGCCGTCCCGCGCTGCGCCCCAGCGGCTCGTGAACCGGTGCAGGGAGCACGGATCCCGAGACCCGGGTTCGCGGGGGTCCGGTGGCTCTTCCCCCCGCCCTACCCGCATCAGATTAGTGGGAATCCCACAGCCCCAGGCCGGGACGCAGCCTCCAGAGGCGCGTTGCCGCGCACAGTGGCCGGCATGCAGGGAGCTCGGCGCGGGGCACAGCTTTAGAGAAAAAATGAGGAATTCTGTACCCGGGCTGGAGCGCTTAGGACTTCTGAGTCCCTTGGGGAAAATCGGTCAAACCTGAGATGCCATAGGAGTCAAGATCACAACCGGGCAAGACTTTCAACTTAGTAAATTATGCATTTCTGAAATCTGGTCGTAAAATTCTGAACAGGAAGGTGGGTTTTGTTTTGTTTTTTAAATATGCGACGTTTTACCTCTTTGCCTAAAAATGTTTCCAAGAGGCTTTTGAGCCATTCTGATTTGCAAAAAGGAGTTGTGTATTTCTGCTTCTTTCTTGCTCCTCTGAAAGAGTGTATATTTACCTAAAAAGTCCAGATCTGACGTAAGGGTGGAACATAAGCTTGCTTGCTCGAGTTCTTGAACTCCTAAAGTTCCCTATTGGACACATTCTGGGAAGTCTCCCTTCCAAAACTTGCGGTCCCCTGGCGGGACCTGGGCTGCATTGCTTTATTTCAACTGGTGGCAGGAGGAGAAGCTGTCAACCTGGAGTTGACTGTATTGATTAACATCTGCTAAGTGTATAGAAATTAAGTTGCCTTTACAGTTGTATTTTGAAACACGTTTTAAGACTGAAAAGAGCAAGACTTACTTTTAAAAACGAGACTACTTTTGTCGTCACCTTTTCAGGGAAAATGTTCAAATCTCGGAATATAAGGGTCAAGGAGAAACCTCTTCAGTAAAAAATAAATGATGCGTTAATTGCGGAACAGAGTGCATTGTGTGAATTGTATAAGATAATTTGTAACGCACAGACTGACCCACTTATATGTGACGATCGTCATGTGAATGTCTTCCCTGTCCTTAAATGCCACCCAGATGTAGCGTTGGACCCCCTGACACTTCCTGTAGTTTCACTTTCTGTTTCTGCAAAGTTCAACTCTTAAAAGCATTGCCAGGGGCAGCTCACGTTGGTTTACAGGAAGAAGGTGTGAAGTGGGAGGTAAAAGGAGAAGAAGTCTTTCCGGATAAGCTAAGAGCTCCAGTGAGGGTCGCTCTGCTGGGAAGTGTGCCTGCGCGTGCATGTGTGTGTGCGTGTGTGTGCGCGTGAGAGAGAGATGGAGGTGTGTGTAAGGCGGGCGGTTGGACGACGGAACTTAATTTATTTTAAATTTTCCAAATTGTCTTCCTTGGGGAAGTAACCAAGTTTTCCCTTGGTCCTGAAACTCCTCGTGCCTTTTTGGTTTGCTTTTCGTACTGGACGACCCTCTTCTGTTCCGTGCGGTGAAGACGGGTCGGCGTTCTGCGTGCAGCCCGGCCTCTTCTCCACGCGGTGAAGCCTCCCTTGCGGTCTCGGGGCTCCGTGGACCACGGGGCAGCCAACATCACGGCTGCTGCGTTGCGTGCCCCGCTGTGTGAGGAGGGGCGGGGCGGGGGGCCTGTGTCACTCAGGCCCTCAGGGAACCTGCAGGAGAGATGCCGTCTGGGCCCCACCGCCCTCCCTAGCGGCCTAAACAGCTGCCTCGTTTCCTCTCGAGCCCTAGAGAGGGGGAGCTGCTGCTTCCTTTTCTGCCAACTACAGAAGCCCCAAGGAGAGATTTCAGAAGGGAAGTAGAAGGCCCTAAATATACATACTCTCCAATAAAGGCACATTTTTGGTAATTTACACGTAGAAAGCTTTTTTTTTAATATTTAAAAAATACAGAACAACTCGCCAGCCATGAACCAAGGTTAGCCTCCCAGTCCTTCACCGCGCCCCCAGCGCCATTCAGAAAAATGGAAGGTCAAAGCACAAATGCGAACAAGACATCCTTGGTCCTCCCCTTACATTTGAATTTATTAGGTTCCCCTTTGTAGTCATCTGTGGTTGTGGGAGTTACTCAGACACCCTCAAGTGTGTCTCTAAAGCGGGTTAGTGCGGCCTCGTCAACCGTGGAAAAGGAAGGTGAGCGAAGTGCTGCCTATTAGCTAATTAAAATTAACCGAGCATGACTGGGGGCAAAGGAAATACTTAAAATTATGACAGCACAGAACACTGCAAAACCTAGAAAGAGCACTAGATTGTTATCTATAATCATTTGCAAACATGAGCTTAAGTAGGGACTAGTTATAAGAACTACAAAAAGCGAGAATGACGTCATATAAAATATACCCGCAGAACTTTTATTCTGTGAAGTGGGTTGGACTGGGAGCATAAATACCTGGATCCTCCGATGTTTTTAGAGCAGCAAATGCAAGGAGAGCACATTTTACTTTGCAAGAGCCTATGTTAAAGACCAAGCTCAACACAAGATTTATAGTTTTTGTCAACTGACTGAATAATCTAGACGATGAAATATCATTGCATAAACAAATGTAACACCTTATTTTCTGTTTTACACAAGTGACTTCAAAACATTCCTACATTTACAGTTTAAATGCAAAGGAAGTAGATTAGCTTAATGTTAATCACATTAGTTGCTTTAATGAGAATAGCTATTTTTAGTTACCATAGTAAAAACATGTCGTTTTATGGTGTCTGTCACAAAAAAACTTCATAATAATGACAACTCGTTTGCAACAGGCCAGAATTCCTTCCTCTAGTGTTTATAATTCTGCATACTTTTATACTTGTTTGTTTTTTATTTACTGTTTTAAATTCATCAGTGGTGATGTTTTTCAAAATACCATCTGTGTGCTAACTGCAGCAGAATTCCTTAGAGGTCTGGAATTTTTTTAATCTGACACCCTTCAAATCCCCGGGCTTGGATGGAGGCGTATACCATTTTAACTGCCATCCTAAGTCATTCTTTTGCACAGTGACAGCGTTAGACTCACCAATCTGTGGTCTGTAACAGTGACTAATTTCGTGGGTTTCATCATCTTCATTATATAATTGTCAGGTTTGTCAGAGAAGCTATTAATCATGGGCACTGTAAGACATGTGAGCCACTTTTCTCTCTTCGAGAAGCTCACAACTCAGGGGGAAAAAGAAAGGCTCCTGCACAGAACTTGGGGGAGACATGAGGGGAATGGCACCAAAGCGTCCTCTGTGTCCTTAAGTTGGTGTGAGAGAGTTGCCCGCAGGGCCTGGCTGGCCTGGGTGCCCCGGCTCAAGGCAGCACCTGAGTCATGACTCGACAGGCACCCGTTTTGAGTCAAGGATGGGAGAGAAGGCGAGCGGGCAAATAGGACTGAGGCGTCCCTCAGGGTAAGAGCGAGGGCTCTGAAGGAGGAAAGAGTTTGGAGAGATCGATGGGGTCACACTGTGGACGGCCAGTTTCAGGAATTTGACCATGATGCTCGGGGTCATGGAGGGATGGCCCTTCACGATGAGGGGCCCTGGAAGACGTAGCTGGTACGAAGGCTGTGGAAGTCTTGTTGATCGGCGGTCGGGACTTTTGCTGGGGTCGGGCCTGGTCTAGTTAAACGGTGAATAGTCAGTGCAGCGGGCGCTGTGGGAGCAGAAGGAAAAGCTATTAGGGGAAGAACCTGCGGACCTGGTGGCTGACTGATGGGAAAGGCACGGGAGTGGGAGAAACCAGCCCCGACCTCAGGGTTAGAGTCACGGGGCAAGGTTGGGCCTCCTCGCAGCATTATAGCCTTTCAGAGACAGGCTCGTTTTCGCGGGTGGATTATGGGTGATGAAGGCATTGTTCCGTAAGTCCCTCAACATTTCACTCAACTAAGGAGTCTTTGGAGAAGCGACTTAAGCTGTACAAATTTCCATCTCATTAAAGGAAAATAATTGTCTGGGATCAACTGGACTTAAGCTGCACAATATACCAAAAGTATTTAAGCGTTTGACAAGTGTTATTACAATCCCTGAAGGAAAATCAGCAGTATGCATACCCCATGACTCGGCGTTTGAAATGAGAAGGTAAATGTTATTCGAGTAAAATAGGCCGTGAACGTGGCTGCGATGTTCAGCCATTTCCTCGCAGTTTCCTCTGAGCTTGGTGTTCAGGACCCCGGGCATTTCTCTGGTGGACTTCGGACCCTATACTTGTTGGCAGCCACCGACCCTCGATCTTCAGGAAGGAGGAGGCGGTTCTCTCTCAGGGAAATGCGCAACGTTGGTGCAAGTGTAAACCTCTGAACGCTCCTCCCCTCTTCAGCTCACTCTGCATCAGCCCACATGAGGGGCTCAGAGTTGGACTCCCTAGCAGCCCTTCCTGAGGCGGGTGAAGACTCTGCGACCGAAGGATTGGATCCTGGCTCCCCTGCCCCGGTGTCTGATGCTTCTGCAGCGCGTCTCCAGCTGTTGCGTTTTACATTTTCCTTAGAGGATAGGATTAGGGGCTTCGTCAACCTCCTGTCTTCTCAAAGGTTCCTGAGCCAACTCGGATTCTTGCTGGAGACTGATGGCTTTCGACCTAGAGAGCTCAATTCCCCTTTCATTTTGGTTTCTCCTTCTTTGGAACCTTTCTTCTGAACTGTGACCATCTGCTGGGCAGCCACTTGTTCACGAGACGGTCAACCTCAACGAGCAGGAGAGTTCTGCCAGGCTCTCCAACTCTGGGAATCTGGAGAGGGGTGCCCTGACCTCCTTGTTCTCGGGATGGGTGCAACATGC